AAACCCCTCAAAACCTAGTATCCCCCTTAATAAGCCCTATAATACTCCCCTATATATTCCCCTGTAAAGCCCCTTGAAGGAGTTTAGACTGTGGTACTCATGCTTTCCGCTGTTTCTTGCAGCTCTTCCTGTCTGAAAAGCCACCTTTCCTAGGTCAATGCGAGCAACCAGGAGCATCATGAAATATTTGCGACATATTCGGGGGGGCATATAGGGATAATGGAAAAGAAAATGGAAACTACTGGCTTAAAATGTTATGTGCATCTCTGAAACTCCAACAGCACCTTTTCCAACACTGGAAGTTCTCTTTTCAGATTCAGAGGTTTCTCTGAACAGACATACCAACCTTAGCATACCCGAAAACGGAGTTCCGAGCATCCTGCATGGTCCTATCATCCTATAAAAGAGACGAGTCTCTCAAGGACTGACTATGTCTCCACTCGAGTCCCCCCCGGTAGATTCCCAAGAAATCCTCTGCTTAGGCTACAACCTTAAAACAGGATTTTGAGGCTCTCCCCCAGCGTCCCCATGGAAACTCTGCATGATCTCCCCAAACAAACATGGAACATCAAGAGGGACTCTACAATCTACAAGGAGTATTTGATGGCAGTCAGGGTTGGTAAGGAGAATTCAGATATCCGCCTTGCAAACGCGTATGGTGCTGTCATTCGAGCGGTGTGCGACCTCGTAGACGGCCTTGAAATGCTTCTGGCTCTTTAGGGTTTTAGGGTTTAGGTTTGGGGGTTTAGGGCCTAGGCCCATATATCAAGAAAAGGTAACCTGTCAGGGCTCCATACCCCAGGCTTCCACAGATCACTCCGCGAAGCCCACTTCACCTGAGCATCCCTACCCTAGATCCTCCCAGTTCACATGTCATTTTCATGTTCCTTTCCATTTGATGCTCCATAATTGGGTAAGATCCCCAAATCCTGCACAGTCCCTATATAACCCAAAAGATCATGTTGTAACCCTACAAATGAGCCCTGGGGCCTATTGAACACTACCCTAAAACCCTAGACCCTAAACCCTAGACCCTAAACCCTAATTCAGGAAGCTTAGGCCAGCTCGCCGAAGCTTCCTTCGCCCAGCTTCTTCCCCGTCATGTAGACGTCGTGGAACCTCGAAACTCAAAGGCTCCTTCTAGTGTTTTTTTTACAGGGGCAATGGATTTGCAAATGAAAATTAGGGTTTAGGGGAGGAAACTCCTGCAATTTGTGCTTAATGCAGGTTGCTGCACTGGCTTCAGGCAACCCATGAAGGGACTGCCCCACAGTGAAACACTTGCAAGAAGTCACGAGAATACTTGAAATCCGAGATACGGAACCAAGATTCACACGCCGTTAAGAACCCTGAAATTACTGGAAGTACTGGTGATAGCAGCACTCGACGGAGCCATCTAACAAAGATCACACGGTCAACGAACAATTCTTTAGACACTATCTGTGCCGCGTCGTGGCTACGTCCCAGCCCGAGAGAGGCCTGCCTACGACGCCAAATCACAAACTTAAGAAAAAGCAAGCCCTTTGTTGCAACTCGCATGGTAGCTCAAAAGTCCTGTGCACCAGGGGTCCTTCCCGTCAGGAAACCTGGACCCGCGCTGCAGATGCCCAAACGGCAGCTCTGGGGTCCAAACGAGCATTTCCCAAAAGAATCCCGACATAAGCAAAGACCCTAGGGATGGCTTAGGATTCAAAAAAACAGAAGGCTTAAAACTCTTTTTATGTAGGGTTTAGGGTTTAGGGTTTGGGGTTCAGGGCTTAGGTTCAGGGTGTATACTGGGAACTCCGCGTATATACGTATCTCTTGCAGATGCTCTGCTGGACTGAATTCCTGGCCACAGAGATCCCAATTGGTAACGGACAACTTGATGAAAAAGGCATCACAACCTGTACAACATTCTCACGGTTGCGTACATTTACGTTCTTGACCTGGGTTCATTTCGGAGGTTCGCAGCATTGGTGTACGACTGGCAGTACAGATTGCATTTGTATATCTTGGGTTACAGTAGGCCGGGATTCTGAAGGAACACACCGGGAATCTGCACCGAAGCTAGCTCGGAAGCCCCTCCAAAACGGCAGGAAGACTCATCATGCAGACTTGCAGTCCGTTAGCCCTCGCCCGCCTCAGCTTTCGAAACGTCACTAACTGGGGGGGGCTTCTCAAAAAAAACGTCACCTGAGACCCCTGGAAATGCAGGGGATTGCAGGGGTCTATCTCGAACATCATAGGATTACTTTGAGAATCCCCCAACTAGCCTGCGCTGGCCCGGAGGCAAGAACTTCAGGACCCATCCGCAAGTATTGTCGTCATGACCAGAATTTGAAAGCTAGAGTCGGAAAAAATCATCCTGGTTCTAGCGGATGGGCTCACAAGTCAAGAGATCCCATGGTAAAGGAAAATCCTGAATTGGGCCTGAATACATGTTTTCGGCACCATCTACAAGTAAAGAAGAAAGATGAATGAAGCGCGCTACCTGTGCAGCCTTCTATATTGAGGCTTTTAGAAATACCCCAACACTAAGCAACCGCCGCCGTCTCTTCAAAAAGAACACGCTGCTTGGAAAACGCTGCTGGAGCACTGGCTAGCTCAAGCAGGAAAAGCTGCGTAAAATGAAACAGCATGCAGGAATATGCCAAAGTTATGGTTCGGCATGAAACCTATATTGGGGTTATATTAAGGTTATATTAGGGTTATATTAGGGTTATATTAGGGTTATGTTAGGGTTATCTTGGGGTAATGTTGGGGTTATTTTGGGGTAATAGTGGTGCTTTCTTGGGACAGTGGAAAGTAAAATGGAAACTACTCTAATGGGTTGTATATTCATGTTATATACTGCACAGGGACTGTTGATTATAACTAGTATAGCCGCAACCCTAAACCCTAAACCCCTAAACCCTAAACCCTAAACCCTACCATACTTTGGACACATACCCACGCTGCACCAAGCATCCACAGGTTGACCTGTCGGGTGCCATGGGGAGTTCAAGCCTCTCCCCCGATCTGGGGATTTCCCAACATTAGGGGTACCTTTTGCAGGTCCTTCTAGTAAGGACTATAATATTTGGGGGTCTACTTTGGGGGTTCCCCTAATTTGGAAGCTACCAAATGTCCACCACTGAACAATGAGCCCCTGCTTGCCTTCATGATGCACAGAACTTGTCTTGGACTCGCCCTTGCGAAACAATGATGTTCTAGAGCAGTGGGCTCTTCAGAATCGGGACCAAATCTCAAATTGCTTGGAGTGCCCAAAGCGGTGATCGAGGGGCGCCCTTGCTCTGAAAGGAAGCCATTCGACCCAAAAAGGCCACTGAAGAGTGGCAGACCACAATGCACCTACTCTGAACGCTGCGATCCTTGCCTCTGGCATGACCAATCAGCTGTCAGAATCCGAAATTAAATCATTTCATTCACAATTGAAGATAATTGAAGAAATCAGACCAGTTCATTTGCAATTGAAGCTAGATCTTCATCAGTCTCAATCGCGTTCTTCATCGTGAGCTTCCCCACATCCTTCAGGGGAAGCTTCTTAGGAACTGTCCGCGCTCCAAGAAATTGAAAAACGTAGACTTACTGGTTCAAAACTGGGAAATATGGGAATATATAATACAGGGATGATGTAGGGATGATATTCCCTTCTTCCCCACTAAGAACCAGTCAGTAGAAGAGTTTTTCAGGGGAACGAAGGCGAATTGCTTAAACGAGCAGCCTTGGAATCAAGGAGTTGCGTCCCACATCCTTAAGTCCTTTCGTCCAAATCCTGGGCCCCTCAAACCCGAACTCAGCCTGAATCCAGGAAGCCCCAATGTTTAGGGTTTAGGGTTTAGGGTAGCCCGAAGGTCCTTTAACAGCTTGTCCCGGGCATCTCCCTCGCCCTTGAGAGCCATTACCTTAGCCCACATTTCCCAGAAAGAAACAAGGATCCTTTTTGCATAATTATAAGGAATCTCATATCCAACATATTTTAAATAATCCCTAAACCCTATAACTATATCCCTAGAATATCCCTACAATGCCCCTATTTAACCCCTATATCACCCCTATATGCCCCTAAAGAATCCCTAAACCTTATCATTATATCCCTAGAATATCTCCATAATCTCTCTACAATACCCCTATATAACTCCTATATAACCCCTATGCCCCTCTAAAGAATCCCTAAACCTTATCATTATATCCCTAGAATATCCCAATAATCTCTCTACAATACCCCTATATAACTCCTATATAACCTCTAAAGGCCCCTCTAGAGAATCCCTAACATTGATCCAGTTACTATGTACTGCGGAGCCGAAGTCTCGATCGCCAGTTCCTCCGCAGTCTTCCCGCGTGCATTCCTGTTGAAATTCAGACTTTGGGTTTAGGGTTTAAGGATTAGGGTTTAGGGATTAGGGTTTAGGGATTAGGGTTCGGGGTTTAGAGTTTGGGATTTGGGGTTTAGGTCTAGACCCTCCAATGTAATCCTTTTTGGGTCTAGTATGGTTTTTCGGTTAGGACTCTGACGAGGACTACCAAAATTGCGCTACAGGTCCAGGTAAGGCTTGTGGTCCAGGCTCCAAAGTGTAGGGTCTAGGGGCTTTAGGTAGGATTTGGGTTTAGGGTAAAGCGGACTTGAGTCTGCTGCGTTAAGTACTCCCCGTTGTGATACATTACAATATATTGGGACTATTTAATATTAGGGAAGGCAGGGGGTTTAAAATTAGCGGTAGGGGATTATTGTACATGGCCAGGATCCTGACCAGATATTGCTCCAAACCAAAGACCTCCAACCCATCGACAAAAAGGACCGATGATTTTGAGAGAAACCTCGTCACCCCTAACCGAACCCCACACAAAAACTCTCATTCCAAAAACCCCTTCCTGACTCCTACGTAATATCTAACAGCCTCCAGACTCTGTAGAGCCCCCAGAATGATGCTTTTAGCCTGCCTACTGCCCCCAGGCCAACAACAGTTCCTTAACATCTTCTACCCGCCATAAACGTCCTATGACTACAACCGGAGTTAGTATGGGCAAACCTTAACTCCCAACCTGAATACCGGCACCCGAACCCTATTCAAGCCCCATGATTCCCCACAACAACGAGCGAGGTTCCGTAGATCCGTGCGCGCCCCGGCGGCTAAGAGCACTGCAGTCGCCTCGAACGAGCCCGTGATGACGCTGCACATGAGGGGCCTGGGTGAAGAGCTGGGTCAGGCTGGTCCTCCCCATGTGCCCTAGAAACCCTCGAAAATGCAGGGGTCCAGGTGGTGAGTTGATGGCTCAGTGTGGAACTCTTGGGACAATATAACCCCAACATCACCCATTATAATAATTTCCCGCTTCTTTTCCATTATCCCTGTAATATCCCTATATTATCCCAATATAACCCCAATATACTCCCAATACAGTGGAGTTCTGCAGGAGTGCGGAACGGATTGAACACGAGAGTAAAAGGATTCCAGAAGGACCATGCTATCGGCCTATCTGGGTCAAACATCCTGCTGGAACTACAGAAACGTGATGTCTATTGGGGCAGGTAACGAACCCTAAACCCTGAACCCTAAACCCAAACCCTAAATCCTTAAACCCTAAACTCTAAACCCCTAAACCTTCAAAAAATGATCCAGGGACGTGGCCCCGTAGTGATGGTAGGCATAGGAGCTCAGAAGGGAGGATTTCCATCGGTGTCGCAGGCTGAGGCAGCCAAACCAAATGCCGAGGGGGCTGATCAGCGGCATGTTCAGCTTGAAGTCCACCTTAGAAACTTTTTGTTTTTTTTGCAATTCCTCTTCTGCCTGCCAAGAGGTCAGAAGGCGTAATTTACGCAGGAGCAACCTACCCACATACCAACACCATCACTTCCCATTGAGGGTTTAGAGTTTAGGGTTTATAGCGTGCAGATTGGAATTATGCAAGGGGTTGTATAAACAGGCTTATCACCCCTAATGGTACAAGCCCCGTATTACAGGCACTCTCAAAAAGACATCCCCGCCATGTTGTCGAACCTGCTTCATGTCATGCGCTAAACGGCCCCCTCACTTGGAAGATCTCTTGACTTTGTAGGTCTACTCAGTAACTGAGGTTATGGGACTGATAATAACAGGGGTTATTGCAGACAGTAGGAACACATCAAGTACTAAGTCAAAAGATCATCCAAGCACACCCTAAACCCTAAACCCTGAACCCTCACCCCTGATCCCTAAACCCTAAACCCCAAACCATCTAAGGACCTCTGCTCCAACGCGTAACAATGTCGACATCACCTCGGCGGATCCCCCGCCTTGCAGCATCGCAGCATGCAGAGCCAGGTTGATCTCCTCTTCGGATATCGGTTTAATTTAGGTTTTAGAATTTAGGGCTCAGGGTTTAGGGTTTAGGGTTTAGGGCTCAGGGTTTAGGGTTTAGGGTTTAGGGCTTACTTAGGGTTTAGGGTTTTCCAAAAATTGGGTGCCCTTATATGAACCCCAGTGTACTATAATCCTTGTTATAAGGACCCCTTACAAGGACCCAGAATTTTCGAGGATTCAACACTGACCATGTAAAGACACTGGGGAAACGGAATGTAGAATGACACTCTGCAGGGGGCTATGTAATTAGAGGTTGAGAGGGGTGGTACACACGGGAAGACTAGATTATGGAGTTCACTACCCGCATTAAACTCAGGATTCTGGAGGCATGCACAGCAGATTTCCTCTTTGGATGTGTGCGGAAGCAGTTCGTTCATGGCATCCACGCGCCCGACTGCGCTGGCCACTCGGAAAGGAGAGTAGCCCAGCATGTTCACAGCTGCAGGGTCACAGCCAGCCGCCCAGAGTGCCTTGATTCCCTCCTTGGTTGTTGAATACCGACCCTGGCCCTTTGGTGCTTCTTAGGTTCTATAGATTGTACCCAAAGAGAATCAAGGTTACCCAATGGACGGGTATGCTTCCACATTGTTAGAGAAGGCAGCCCAAACCAAAGCCGTCGCCCCAAAACCGTCTCTGGCGGCTACATCAGCTCGGCTGCTGATGAGAACTCTAAGCGCCTCGTTGTTGGTCAAGAAGGCGCACATGTGGAGTAAGGGGGTGTCTTGCCCGAATTGGCTGGCTGGCTCTCGTTGCTTCATCCGATCGTTGACGTCCGCCCGTTGCTCCAACAGGGCCGAGATCAACATAGGGCTGCCGTCCACGGCAGCAAAGCAAATTGGTGTCCAGCCTTCTGCTGTGCGCTGGTTGATAGAATTGAACCCATTCTGGAACATAAAGCTCTCGGCAGCATAGACTGCTGGGTCATGCGACTCCGATACAAAGCCAGGCACCAATCCCTCAATAGGATTGATGTGGAGATCTTTGTAGTGAACCCGCTGGATGTTCAGCATGAGCCTGTAGCTGTGGAGGTCCCCTCTCACCAAGTAGTAGTGCAGCTTCTTCCTCACCTTACAATTTTCATCAAGGTCTCTCCCAGCAGCAAGTGAAGTCTGAAGGGTCCCCCAACAGCGAAGATTACGGTATTAAAGCACATGACTACCTTTAGAGGGGCCCAGCATGCTTGTCCAGCCACCATGCGCTGCAAGACCTGTGCAATCTTCTCCTTGTCAGAGGGCACGGTAAAGCTTCCAGTTCCCACAGGCGCCTGGACCTGGTTTTGGCTCATCACATGCATTCGAACATCATAAACATAACAAGGACAATTCCAGAAAAATGACCACTATCCTAATTACAGCTATGGGAAAAGCATCCCAGAAAACTGGCCTAAGATCCGCTTCAAGCTAGGCAATTGTCCGCCCCAGGATTGGCAGGTTAGGGTTTAAGGTTTAGCGGTGACGAAGCGGCTGAGGGTTTGGGGTGAGGGTGTCAAACCCTCCCTGTCGCCCGCGCCCGCAAGTCAATGCGCTACCAGTCAAATGCTCAAGAGCTCTACTCGAACAGCGCACACTTGAGGCTTTGATATCTATCCGAATTTTTAAGTGGCGGTGAGGGTGGTAGTCGTGGGGCCATCTATGATTAACCCTGAACCTCAAATCCACACCCAAAACTCCTAATCTCCATCCAGAACAAACCCCAGCTGCCAAGCCTCCAACACTAAGTTACGAAGCGGGAGCAACAAGTTTCACGCAACAACTCCACACCTCTGAGCTCAAAAGACTTCCAAACAAGCTTGCCCCAAAAAAGTAAAAATACTAATAATGATAATAATGGCAACAATAGGAGTAAATTTAGGAGTAGTAATAATAGTAGTAATGCTAGTAACAAAAATAATCATTATAATATGTAATTTTCTTTTTCAAGACCGAAGGGCCCAACCAAACGCGGCAGCCTGCGATTGGTGCGTTGCGCCCTGGATCTCCTTATCTGATGCGCTCTTGGCAGCAACATGTCTGGGGGTTATATAGGAATTATGTGAGCTATAGTCTAAACTCCTAGTATCCCCCTTAATAACCCCTATGATAACCCCCTATATAATCCCCTATATGACCCCCTTTAAGGAGTTTAGACTATAGCTCATATATGGGGACTGTCTAGGGCTCAGGGTTAGGGATGCTACCTCACAAGGCCAAAAACGACTTCGGGCCCTTCAAGTGCTGTAAGCAGCCAGAAATACACTCCCAAAAGGATAAAGTGGGCCAGTTTTACGTGCGGCAGGTTATGGAAGACAAGAGGGAATCACTCTGTCCACCATTTTAACCCAGTCTGTCTATAGCTCAACAGGATTGTGCTCTTGGTAGTGCACGACAAACATTTCCAGCTCGAAACATCAAAGTGCCCTATCGTGAGCCATCTTAAGACCCACACCATGCTATTGAAAGCTAAGCTCCTAGAGACATCTGTTTCGGGTGTAGTCTGTGCGGGAATGAGGACATCAGGGTTGAGGGATAAACGCCTTCAGTCTGCCGCATCGAAAGTAAAGGCCTTGAGGAAATAAGCAATATTTTGTCCAAGTATCACGAAGATGCCTTTGCACACTACACTAGCGCTAGTAGGAGATCGAGAGAGAGATTGTATCGGGTAAGGGGATGCAGCAGTTTTCGACGCCAGGGGCTCCCAACTCTTGCAAACAATCCTGCAGAAGCCGGATCAAGTTCGAGGGTTAGGATGGTCTGTGCAGGGGTTCGCGGATTCATGTGTCGTAGGGTCTGAAGATCGCGGCTTAGGACCTAGTCAGGGCTAAGGCACAGAACCAAGACCTACTGCTGCGCCCGCATCCCAGCACCTGCGCGTCTGGATGAATCCTTTATGGGCGTTGATCGGAAGGGGGGGCCCCTACGGGCCTCAAGGGATATGTAGGCCATAAAGGCATGATAAGGGGATTATGGGGGGACACTATTAGAGAATCTAAGGATTGCTTTGAGAAACTCCCATATCAGGGGGTTTTATTGCTTTCTACTATATGATAGCTTACCTTAAGGTTGCGTAGGGCTCTTCACAGTGAAGCCTTCAACAAAACAGCCTTTCACACCGCAAGTAACAACTAGCATAGGGCTTCGGAGTAGGGTATACTATAGCTATATGAGAAAAATTGGGTGATCAGAATCCTAACTATTCAGAGTACAGTATACTGGAGCTGCCTGAAGACTATTCCGGGATAATCGTCCCAGGATATTCCTAGTTCTGTTGGCCACTACTGCGTTTCAACCCGAAACCCTAAACCCAAAACCCTAAGCCCTAAACCCCAAACCCTAAACCCCAACTCTAGGCCCTAAACCCTAAACCCTAATCCCAAAACCCAAACCCCAAAACCCTAAACCCAAAACCCTGAAAGCTCTTAGGACTCCCCGAGCTGCAGAAAGCAAGTCAAAGTACCAGCAGAACTTGTGGTAACAAACAGCCTAAACAGTACAGTTACTGCTACGTAGGGGTTATAAAGGGATAATGGAAAGGAAAATGGAAACTACTATTATATACACCCTAAACTAGGCCCCTTTCATGCAACAAAGCTTCGATGGAGACCCCGGTGTCAGCCCTCGTGCTCAGCTCGCGCGCTACGCGCTCGAGCCTGCAATGAGCAAAGGATCCCACCAGTTGGGCCCATATTTGGAGGGACCAGAGGGAGGCTCCCAAAATCAAGGTCCGATTATTGTGAGACTTCTCCAAATGAGTAGTGCCTTTTTGGTGGTTTAACCCAGTAAGATTATATTCCTTACATAAAATACTATGCCCAAAAGGAGGATATAATCTTACTCTATATTGGGTACCATCGTATAACCAAATAAAATACTGCTCAAATGTCTCATGAGTTTTACATGGCTCTACGGAATGCCATCGAGCTTGCTCCTCATCCTGGATTTTGAGCAGAGAGGTTGTCCAGGTGAAAGCGTTTAGAAACTGAATCAAACTTTAGCCCCATCTGGACTGGGATCAATCTGAAATCCAGACTTCTTGTCAGGACTGCAAGACCATAGACCCTGACCAGCAAACCCAACTTCTGGAAGCCTTGAAAGGACTCAAGGCCAAAGACCCCGGCTTTGCTGGAACAGTGCAGCATTTTGGGCATGTGAATTATAGTCTAAATCCTCTTATCCCCCTAGTAAAACCTATCATGCTCCCCAATAGAATCCCAAATCTATCTCCCTTCAAGGAGTTTAGACTATAGCTGATATCGTATTGATTGTGTTGGGGCCATACAGCATGTTTAGCGTATCCCATTGCTTTTCTTGGAACAATACCGCGGTGTTGTAATGTGTTTGGGTTCCCGGGAGCAAAAGCAAAGCTGTACCAGTCCACTAGGTAGGAGTCTTGGGTTTAGAGTTGAGGGGTTGAGGGTTTAGGCGTTTAGGGTTTGGGGTTTAGGTGTTGAGGGTTTAGGGTTCAGGGTTGGGGAGCTACAACCCTGAGCAGCTTGAACCCTAAAAGTCATGAGGCGAGTAAACTGAAAATGTGGTCCCGTCGGGTCCTGAACCCTAAACCCTAAATAGTAATTTCCATTTTCTTTCCATTATCCCTATATAACCCCTATATGGGTCTGCATTGCCTTACCCATGGGTCTACAGTCTGGCCCCTAAAATTTTGGAAAACCCGGAAATGAAATAAGGAGGAGAGCCCACGCAAAATCGATCCCTATACATAACTCAAATAAATCCTATGTATCCCCTAGATACACCTATATCCCCCTCAATATATATGTGTATATATGTATATATACATATATACGAATTACTAAATATGTCCATATAGCGCCACTTATATTCACCTACATCACTCCTATATAGCCGCCCTTTTGCCGTCCCTGCGAGGATGCAACCCTAAACCCTACACCCTAAACGCTTCTGCCTGCACCATCCGCGACTTTCCCAACTGCGCTTGTTCAGCAGCAGCTGGTGCTTGGCGTGACGGACCTGAGCCGTGCATAAAGAGGGAAGGAAAAAAGGAAAAACACATATACAGATATATATATATATGATAAATACATGTGTATATATATACATATATATAGAGGGGTGCTCAGGGATATACAGGCCTATATGGAGATTTGTATTTGGGATCTAGCGTTTAGGCTAGTTGGGTGTAGGAGCTAGGATGGAGGATGTGTGGGCAGTTTCTACGTGCAGATTGTAGGGTTCAAGGTTTAGGGCTTCCCAAAATTAGGGGTACGTTTTGGGGGGTCCCTATAATCAGACAACTACAACAGAAGTCATGCGTATCCAGCGCATCCCTTGTTGGGCTTCACGTAAATCTAAAAATTGCCAGAGCAGTCATCTGGGGGGCATGGGGGCACAGGATCACGAAGAACTGACACCGGTCGACATAGGCGGGGATGCTACTGATAGCCAGCTGGCGGTCATGGGCCCTCGCAGAAGACCTGGGCCAGTAAATTCAACGCTTGGGGAAGTTCTTAAGACCTTGGGCCCCTAAATCCTAAGCCCTAAAGCCTAATTGGTTCCAGGAGTGCTATTACCTCAAAAAAGTGCAGCTTGATTGATTCAAACATGATCAAAGCCATAATCCTTAAACGCTAAACCCTAATCCTGCAACCCTCATCCCTAAACCCTAAACGCTAATCAAGGTACTGCGGGCATGAGAAGAAGTCATACCAAATGTAGAGCGCCTTGGAGGTCAGGTCCTTGGCTGACACGCAAACCTGCTGGCCGGTGTACAGCTCTATGCCTGGGCTCCGGAGCTTTGGAGTTAGGGTTTAGGGGTTCGGGGTTAGGGTTACGGGTTTGGGGGTTAGGGTTTAGGGTTGAAGGTTGGGGTCGTAGGGCTACAGTTTAGGACTGCGGGCTTGAAATTTAGGAACGGGGCTAAGGGTTTAGAGCTTAGGTTTAGAGACTACAGAAACTAGTACTTAGTATGGTTTGGGATTGGCTTTTGAGACTTGGCTTAGGATTTAGGGTTTAGTCAGTTAGGGTTTGGGATGAAGGGTTTGGGGCTTGGGGTTTAGGGCTGTGGGTAGTCAAGGGGCATGAACAGGGCACATATCCAACTACGGGCTCCCAAAATAGTCGAGTCCTTCTCTGGAAACCCAGGCCAGGGTGCCAACATTCTGGTCGCTCTCTAGGTAGCTCCCCATTATCATACGGCCCCGAATACTTAGGGCGCCACAAGAGGGACCAAAAATTTGCACAACCACCCATACAAGCCCAGATGCTGATGTTACCTGATATCAAAGAAGTCCCTGACATGGCGTTCCTCAGCGCATCCTGCAAGACCGTGAACTGCTCGAAATTGGGGTCAGGATGCTCGGCGCCTGTCCACTTCTGTCCCCAGAATTAAAGATTGAGGGTGTGTAGAGATATAAAAGGAATCATAATATTGGGCATGTAATTCTAGAGATGGTTGAGGGTTTAGAGTTTGATGTGGAGCATTTAGGTAGGGTCTAGGCTGGGAGCACGAGCTCCCTAAACCCTGAACCCTGACAATACCTAATTCCAAAGCTCGAAAACCGTGACTCCAACTAAAGCACACTGAAGCATCACACACCTCGCACCTTAAAATCCCACACCCAACGCCTTAGCCCCATACCCCGCGTTTACTACCTCCGCCTGCCCACTGGTGGGAGACAAACATGGCGTTGCCCTTGCTATCATCGTACTCCACCTTAGTTGTCCGGTAGCCAAGTACAAATGAAGCAGCTTAGGGTTTAGGGGTCCAAGCTTTGTGCCAAAATGATAGGGGCTGTACTTTCATTGGTGCCTAGAAACCGTCTCTAATCTTGAGACCAACCCATCTACACGGCTTTTCCATCGCTAGCCTTTGGGCTATGCAAACCATAACATGGGGATCCCATTTACATACCCAAATACTACCTGTCGTTTTGTAGGGGCTCTCAAACAGAACCCTAGCTTTTTGTTGGAAGTTCTCATAAAAGCCTATCAAGTCGATGGGTTCCATTTCATTTTCCATGTCCTTCTCAATTTGGTTTTCCCATCAGTGCGGTACTGTCCATTAATCCCGCATTAATCCAAATGCGAGCTATAGTCTAGACTCCTAGCATCCCCCTTAGTAATCCCTAAAATCTTTCCCTATATAATCCCTATATAACCCCTTTAAGGAGTTTAGACCCTAAACCCTAAGTCCTAAACCCTAAACCCTAAATAATCCCTGATATAACCCCCCCCCTTCAAGGAGTTTAGACCATAGTCCCCATGTAGTGGGCAGATAGGTCGCTAGAATGCCCTCCTGCATGAGCTCTTCGTGCGGCTTGAGCTCCTTCATACCCATTAGGGTATGCACGGGAGTCACCTTAGTAGTGTTTTTTTGATGGTTGAAAACAGTAAGATTATCTTCCTTATATAAGATACTATACCCCAAAAGGAGGATATAATCTTACTCTATATTGCGTACCATAGTATCCCCAAATAAAATACTACTCACCTGACCAGTGCTTTAGGGTTTAGGGTTTAGGGCTTTTTCTGGTGGCCCAAAGCTGGAATCTTCTCTTCGAATGCAGTATTACAACCCAGTCGTCTGGGTGGGACTCTGCCATCTACGTGGTCTTAAACCGCCGAAGGATTTCCCTCTAAAGCCTCCTAGGTGTCGACATGAGGGTAGTCAAAAGCTGGGAGCGGAATAGCGACAATACTATCCCAGCTGTCCAGAATTCAGAAACTAGGCTTCTTTACGAGCTTCAGCTTTAGGAGGCAGAGGCCAATGCGTTACCCAAGTGCCTGAGTCCGCATGCCTGGAGCATCCTGGAGCCTTTTTATGGATAAACCCTCTCTGAATGGCTATCCCTTCTGGCATTCTCAAGAAAACCTGGGCCGGGACATCAAAAGCGACATGTGCGTTGAGACCAATAACTAGCAGTCATAGCAATAGTACTTAGAATGATACTAGCAATTATATTCATACTAGACCTATGAACATTTTTCGCTCTATTCATATTGTTTGTAGCCCAGTCACGTACATGGGAAAGAGCTTAACAGCCGTCGTCTCTGCTTCCTCGGTTCCTTCACCCAAGTTTCTCGCCAGGATCTCGAGAGCACTGACCGGTTCAGGCGCAGAGCATTGACCGAACATGGCTGGAAGCGGGAACTTGGGCTTCCTTAGGGATTATGATTACTTGAGCCTAAGTCTAAACAGAAATCACTTCAAACAAGAGTCCTGGGGCTCAGATCCACCAGAGTGCGCAAACATGGCTCGAAACATCCGAATTCTGAGAGGCTTTCCCCAAAGCCCCCAGGCAGCAGCGTCAAGCACCACAAGCAGTTTTTGCAGTAGTGGCACTCCCCTTGTAGTTTGAGTATTGGCAGCAATGATCGTCTGAGAGGAAAAGGAAAATGATGTACCAGCAATCATAGCAATAGTCTTATAGTACCAATAGTAATCATAGTTATAAGCATAGCAGTAAGAAGACGAATTCTAATAGTAGCTCATACCTGTAGGAATTCCAACCCAGGACAACAAGATCATCCTAGGCATGAGTAGCAGAGAAACTCTGACAGAAAGATGCACTCATCAAGCGCAACACGAGCAAGAATAATGGACACCTACTATAGTATAATACAGCATAAAATAGAATATTATGCTATATTAAAGTAATATATTCTTTAGAAATTCTTTAGTACATTCTAAAAACCTTGAACCCCAAACTTGAATAGCAAGTATGGAGGCTAAAAAAAACAATTTCCTTCAAACCCTCAACCCCAAATCCTCAACCCGAAACCCTCAACCCTAAACCCTCAACCCAAAACCCTCAACCCAAAACCCTAAACTCAAAACCCTAAACCCTGACAGTACGCAAGGCATCGCCGGGCCTGCTCGAATTCTTCTTAAGGAATTCCTCCCTCCACCTCTTGTCTCGCTCCTCTCCAGCCTTAGCCAACAAGAAATTTGGGACTTTCCCAAAATTAGGGACCCCTAAAGGGGTACGTTTGTGACAGTCTCTGCGATGAGCATTGTAATTTTGGGGGGTCTATGTTGGGGTCCCTCTATTTTGGGAAACTGCCATTTGAAGCTTTGGGGGGACAACGCTCTTTCCCAAAACAGCGGTGTACTCTGCCTGCACCCTTTGATGCTGTTGCTAGAACAAATCCTGCACCATCCCAAGTGCCCCAATTCCTAGGAAGGACCGTAGCGTAACGACCCCCAAAGCTGGGTAAGATTCCATGGGGATTAAGATTAGAGTCCCCTTTAAGTAGATAGAATATGGATTCGACCATTACAATAATCAGATCCCCACATATCCCATATTAAATCTAATTAAGGGGGACTAAAAGGCTTGGGGTCAAGGTTTGAGGAACCTCATATGTAGATTGATCAGCTCCTTAGCCCGCCTTGACATACTTGAGGATCCTGGGGGCTAAGGCAAGGCCAATTTGTAAGGTTGTAAAGGTCTCCTTCCGGATCAGGGAAGGCATTTACGAATAACCCTTAATCCTTGGGTTATTCCCCCTTACAGTAACAGTTTTCCAAAAGGGGTTATAGGAGTTATAAGAACCCCCTTAATAAGGTCCCTAATGACCCAACTTAAACCCTAAACCCTAAACCAGAATTATGTAGGCCCACCACTGGTGCTTTAGATGGGCATGTCCAGAATGATCCAGGCTTTCAGACCTCCAGCTTTAGAAGAGCGACCTTGCCCGCCTGGTACTCACGGGTTCTCCCACTACCCCCCTCTATATTTAGGGTTTAGGGTTTAGGGTTTAGGGTTTAGGGTTGGTTCCCCCCTTAATTGAACTTAATTAAGGTTGTTTAGGGATGATTAAGCTTAGTTAAACTTAATTAGGCGGGAACCTAGGGAGTGGTAGTATAGAGGTGGTTAGTAGGTGAACCCATCAGGTAAGCCCTGCAGAACCGCTCCCTGGCAAGAAACCCTACCAGGCCTTACAACTTTCACGCATCCACAAAGCAAAAACATGGTAGCTTCCCTCAATACAGTGACCCCAGTATAGACCCCAAAATGCTATAGTCCTTACTGTAGTTACCCCCCAAAAAAGTAAGCCATATCTTGTTCTTTACAATTTGATTCTGCACTATTGGGCTACAATCCCTATACAACCCCCTAAATGATCCCAATATAACTCGTGTATATCCCTATATCCCCTTGCAAGTTACCCAGGGACCCCCCAAATTTGGGGAAACTCCTTTGTCGGAACCTTCCTCTGCCGCGCTCACTGGACCCTGGAGAGTCAACCCTTCATTTTTTCTACTCATAATAACTACTGATGAAATAAGTTAATCATACTAATTAATAATAATAATACGACTAGCTATGTAGATTATTATTACGAATATGTATTTATGTTAATCGGCGATCCTTCAAACTCCTAACCAGGGCCTGTGCTTCCTGAACTAAGCTCGCAGCCACAGCATGCGAGGGAACAGCATCAACCTCGCGTTAGTACACGCAAAAACTGGGGCAGTTATGCAGACTTACTGGGTGGGTAATATTATATAGGGACTAGATAGGGATCATCCTTATTCCCCAATGCTAACCCGTAAAAAAAAGCTGAATTCGGGGCGTTTAGGGATTCCTGCGGAACCTTTCCGGCATCATGACCCTGGTGGTAGAAACCCTTGAAAGGGTGAAAGGCATCCTGAGCCAAAACGGCTGCCATTTATCCCTTATATAGACCCACCCTGTAATAGTGGTATAATCGGAATAGAAGAGGACCCTAACATAATCACCATTATCCTTTATAGTCATCTTTAAAGGTTGGGGGGTCCACCTAACATAGATCAGTCTCCGGTTCATGTTCAATGTCCTTTCCATTCGGTTTTCCATGTTTGGAATTGGGCTTGCCCAAATCTTCTCATTATGTGTTGGGTTTAGGGGCGTCAAGCCTCACAAGCAGCCGCATTGAAGCCATATAACTGCTACAGTACAAGGAACTTCGGAATCTTGCCCAATTGCATGTTTCCTCAATCTGCTCCTCCCAATGTCTATTCTGGATATGTTTGAACCAGACCACGAGGCATTCAGGAATGGATGATTCAATGTTGGGGTGGGGTATCAGTAAGGGGCTCACGTCTCCACTCAGCATGGGTCCCCGAGAAGTGAACAGGTCTAGCACTGTCCATGCCCTCGGCATACCCAAAGATGTAGGTCCTCGATGCGGATGAAAGGAGATCACAAGATCTGCAATCGCCTCCCCCTACGTAAAACAAAAATCCCCACCATCGTACATACTGGTACCATGTTGGTGATCTTCATTTTAGTGGAGTGCGGGATCGAATTTTCAGGGGGAGGTGATGAGTCAAATGTGACAGCGATGCACGCACTCAACGACATGATGCGCTCCCTCAGCATGCCGACTGTGAGGAGTCTCTGAGAAAGCGTGCCCTCCAGACAAGCAAAATCGATATTTTGGGACCCCAGCTCCACTTTCAATGGGGTTTCCACAGATAAGGGGGCCCAAAATGGACCCCAAAATGCTGCCTTGGAAACCCCAAATTGCTTGAACTGCTAGGGTGAAGCCCCCTGACTATAGTGTCTGTGCCAAGATCCAGGTCTGTCTGCCCCACCACAATAAGATCCGTCATGTCGGGTTGCGACAACAAGAAGTCATCTTGGCCTATGCCAATGTGGTAGTTTCCCTGAATAGAGAGCGAATAGAGAGACCCCAATATGACCCCAAAATACTATAAGCCTTTTACCTTTTTGTGGGGACCCCCAAAACAGTACCCCTAGTTTTGGGAAACTCCCATGTACTGCTTCTTGAGCAACAACGGAGGGAATCCAAAAGTGTTGCCTCCCCACTGGCCAGCATGAACGTCAGCATGCGGAAGAGGAGTGCCTTTTACAAGATGCAACTTATTTCAGAGGTTTCCGCAAGACACGCATGTGTTGCGGATTCGTGACTTTGCGTTGCCGTACAGCAGCTGCCCGCACACCCATGACCAGAACAGATCATCCAAGTACAGATAAGAAGACCTCTTAGAATCCGTGCAGCTGGTTAGTTGGTGTTCGAATGCCTGGGCGTGTGCTTTCAGAAAACCTGCTGCAAAAACAGGAACTGAGGCAGAGGGTCGCAAACAGTCCTCATTGTTTATGCCTTAGTGCCGCTGCCCTCGGCCAATTGCAAGAAGCCCTAACGGTTAGGAGGACACCGCACCCTGCAATCGTGGTATCGTAGGAATATCATACTAGGACCCTAAGATAATCCTTATCATCCCTTGTAATCATTATAATCCCTATTACAGGATGGGGGGTCCTCCTAAGGTAATGGGGAATCCCCAACCCTTTGCTGCCTGTCCATTGCTTGGTGCTTGAAAAGGCACAGTAGACCCACTACCCTCAC